CTGGAAACGGGGAGGACCAGGTTCTTCTAACCCAAAATGTGAACATTTCCAAGTTCTGCTCTTGATCCTGCTGACCAAGAGCCCTGAGAGCAAAAAGGATTCTAAGTATCGGAACATGTTACAAATGGGCACCTCTCCTTTTAGGGCAAAACAACATGTTATAGGTAACCCGTCATTAGAAAGGGGAATGATTAACCTGCTGAAAATGTCTGATTGCAAGAGCTGTCTTCAGGAATTGTTTTTTGGTTTTGTTTATCATTTGTTTGTTTGTTTGCAATTCCCACTGTTTGCAAATGAGCTTCCTTAGTTTTTCTGGCTGGTCTTCTGTCATTTGCAAGTATCTCCGAACCGTGAAGAACGTCTCCCTGAATGGAACCATAACAGCTCTCTAGCTTTTCATGGCTGGCTACTGAAAATCTACGATGGCCCTTGGCAAGCCACTTCCCAGGGCGGAGTGATTCATTACCGGGTTACCCATTACCAACACGTCCCACCTCTGTGGTGCAGAGCAGTCTACCTGGTGTCAGCCCTTTCCTCTTGGAGAGAAACCAGACAGGATTCCAACTGAATCACGAGGTCTCCCCGTGAGATGTTTTTTCCCCATGCAGGATTCTTCCGAAGTGTGATCAGCATTTCTTTTATGGAAGAAACAGGAAGCTGTGCAGGAATATTTCAATTCCGGCACAGTATGACCCCCCCCCCGTCCTGTGCAGAGTTCACCCGAAAGGGCATGGAGGGTGGGATCAGACCTTGACAAAGGATCCGGTCTGATTACACGGGAAATGGTCACTTTTCTGGGCCACCGTCTCTCTTAAAGGGACTCAACCCTACCTATAGGAATCGCTCCATCCAGGCTCTTCAGAGGAGTAGCTCGGCCGATGGACCACGAAGGTTCAGCTTGAGCATCGGGAAGCGTTGGATTGGTGCGCGATCTCCTGTGCGTCGCGTGATCCCAGGAAATTCATTTGCACCAGTCCTTAACTTAAGTTATTTCTCTGCCTGATCACACCCTAAACTGCGCAGAATTGGATTGTTTCCTCTGTGGAACGATAGAACATTTTTTTGGTGGTAGTGGTGAGTTTGGAACAAATGAACGGAGACTCCTTATGTGCAGGGAGACGTGGGCTTCCTCAGTGGTGCCAAAGTCTCTCAGTGCCAAAAAAATCCCAGGGAACCGGAATCGTTTCAAGCATTTGTCACACAAACTGACTCGGGTGCGTCGAGGGAGAAATAGCTTTTCCGTGTTGTTGTGTCGGCTTTGCATGGGGCTCTCAGGCCCTGATCTCTTGACGGTGTGAGGTGGTGAGACGGTGTGCATCAGTCCACAAACCTCCCTCCAGCCAGGAAGCCGAATTCTGTGGCCCATCATCCAGCAGGCCGTGAAGCCGGATGGCAGCTCTCTTTCTCTGCATGCGGTGAAAGAGAAATCAGGAGTTTTCTCAAACGAGGGAGAGCGCGGGAGCCTCAGATCACGTCTGCTGTGAGTGGGCTCAAGGCAGGGCAACAGAATTCTCCTAGATTTATTTAATGAGTAGCCACACTTCTTCTCAGCCTGTCGCACAAATGACCAAACCTGTGTGGCTTTTTCGTTGTTGTTTTGCCACGAAGGGAGGTTGATTTTGTCTTCTACTCGCATCCCATGCAACCCAACGTCTTCACACACAACACTGACATGTCACCCATTCGCCTCTTCGTCACGCAGGTGAAAATCGTGTTGCATTAATTGTGAATTAATTCCTCCGGCCGCACAGCAGAAATGCAGGGAAATTCGTAGAGCAGAACGGCTTCTAGTTCCTCGGATTAGTCCACCACCCCTTCTGTCATGAATTTGGCACTTAACAGTCTCAATAACTCACTCCCGGATTAGTCCACCACCCCTTCTCTCATGAATTTGGCACTTAACAGTCTCAGTAACACACTCTGAGAAAGTAGCCGTCGAAAGAATAAAAGCTGTTTTCTTTGCCGATGGATTGACAGCAAACGGGCAGACGTAACTGCTTCCAGCAACAGACTTCGACAGACTCTAGAGAGGAGGAAAAGTCCCAGAGCAGAGAGTCAGGGCTGTCTTTGAATTCAGGGGAGCAAGGATGGGTCAGTGCCGGACAGCTTTTCTAACCGGCTTGGTCAGTGAGGACTCGGATCCCTCTTCGACCTGCTGAATCCACCACGTTTATGACCCCTTTTGTCTACACATCATTGGGTTTCACTTGGGGTTCGCTGACAGCAAGCCCCTGGGCCAAACCGGATAATACTCATTGCACGCTCTCCGGTCCAGTCTGAGTTATGGCAACCCATTTCCTGGGTTTTCTGGGCAGAGGGCACTCAGGCGTGGTTTCCCGTGCCCTTCGTTGGGTCTGGGTTTATGCCACTTGCCCAGAGCTACAGAGGTTGGCTCTTCTTCTTCTTCTGGGAGGCACTGGGTGGGGGTGGGGGGGCTCAAACACCCAACGTATCCGGCCAGGTAGGGCCAAATTCAGGCCCTTGGGGGAAAAAAGGTGTTCTTTGCCCAGTTGCTAACCCAGAGGGGAAAGGCTTAGGTGTGGAGAAAGGGGGCACCCGGGGGGCGACACAGAAGCCAAGAGGGCCTTTTTAAGATGGCTTCTCTGGAGACCACGTGCCGGCCACTCTCTTTTGGGGCAAACCCATGGTTGGTGGCAGCTTAGTAACTGTGTGATAGATCCCAGTAGGTCTGGGTTTGTCACAAAGAGGATGGCTTCTCTGGAGATCATGTGCCGGCCACTCTCTTTTGGGGCAAACCCCACATGCAACCAGCCCCAGGACGTACCTGCTGTTTCCAGCAGCGGCCAGCCAAACCCGAGTTCACTCTCGCTGCTTGCCACCAAAGCAAGAGTTCTCACTACTGAGCTCTCGGGATGGCTCACGGCACAAAACAGCTACTCTTTCGGACTACAAGGCCCAGAATCCCCATGCCTGCATGGATGACTTTTTTCTGAGCCCCGCTGAATGCTTGGCTGGCTGTTTTCCCACTGAATATCTCCGAAAAGCCACACAGCCTGGACAAATGCTTCATCATCACATCGACTCCAGGATCTGTTCCCGATTCCCTCCTTCTCCAGAGGACTTCTAGTACAGATTCTGGAAAAAGTTACTTTTCCAGACTACAATCCTGGGAGGCAAAGATTCTAAAAGATGTAGTCCAAAAAAAAAGAGAGTTTGTTTTTTTTTACAGACTTTGTGCATATCTACCCTGATTAGATTTGGAAGAGGTCTCCTTGTTTGTCTGGGCTAGCTTATCTGGCCAATAGAAAATAAAGAAGACAGAAATGTTGTGACACTTTAGGAGTAACTGCTGTGCAGTAGGACCCCGATATCCGCACGGAATTGGTTGCCAGCCCCGTCCACCCGTGGATGCCGAAAAACGTGGATTATAGCAAACACTATTTTAATAGAGAACGCTGTACATGGCTTGGTCTTTGGCTCACTCTAGTGGCCTATTCTGGTAACGTCGCTTTTAGAAATATGTATTTCTAGTGTTGTTCTTCTAATGGTTTTTAATATTTTCAAACGGTGAATAAGCAAATCCGTGGATACTGATTCCGCAGCTAAGGGGGTCCTGCTCTATTTTAATGTGAAGTCCACTTCCTTAAACGACTGTGAGAAGCTGTTCTCATTTCAGCAATTTTTGCGATTCTATTTAGAATTTTGTTCTGCCTCACAAAAGGGTAGTTTATAAACTGCTCGGGGGTCAGGAAACTCTCACTTTAGTTTGACCCTATTTAAACAAGAAACCGTGCCCTCTCTTCTAACAAAAAGACGTTAAATCCGGCAGTGGCAGATTGCCCAGCTTCTTCACCTAGCGACTTCTACCAGCAACACGGCTGCCACCAGCAGTGATAAAAGACTGTGTCAATCCACACAACTCATGAACGACGAGGTCCCCACTCACCCCTAGGACCCAAGACCTGGTTTGGTCAGGGAGAGAGCGACCCTTTGAAAAGGAGGAAAGGATTGCACCCCCCCCATGGCGAGGTCATGGGTGTGCTCAACACGGCAAGAGACATTTATTTTATTTTATTTTATTTAACTTATATGCCACCCACACTACCCAAACGTCTCTGGGTGGCTTACAACAATTAAAATACAGTAAAAACACACACAATTAAAATACAATTAAGATATATATTCTAAGACCTGTCAACAGGAGGGGTAGAAGACACCTTTGATTGTTGTTTTTGCAAGACTGACCCAGGTTGGCCGGAGGATTCTGGCAGCAGTCTTCCAAAAAACAGCTCTTTTGCCAAGCTCTGGAAATACTCTTCGGACTCCCACATCTCTGTCATGGTCAGGCCACCATCTATAGGTGTGTTTTGTATCCTAGTGTTTTATGATTACTGTTTTCCTTTTTTGCTATTACAGTATTTTCTTTTTAGAGATGACAGTTTTTTGTACTCTCCTTTCAATTCGATTATTGCTTTATTATATGTTTATCCAGTAGGGCCCTGCTATCCACGGAATCAGAAATCTGCTGATTCACTTATCCATACAGTAGTCTGAAAATATTTTTTAAAAATCCATATTTCTAAAGATGAAGTTACCAGAACTGGCCACTAGAGGGAGACGGAGACTATGTGCAGCACTCACTATCTAAAAAGTGGTTGCTATTTTCTGCGTTTTTCAGCATCTGCGCCGGGGCTTGGAATCAATTCCCCCGTGGATACAGGGGTTCTACGGTACTATGTTATTTTGATTTTTTCCCACCGACCAGAGTAGTAGCCTTGCCACTAGTTGGCGGTATAAACACCTAATCAAATAACATAAATAATCTACCGGAAATCCAAATTTTTCTCCCTAGGACAGGTGCATAAACTTGCAACTTTAACCAAACTCTGAGTGACATCCGTAAGAATCAGTACAACAAAAGGCCCCTTAAAGAAGAAAAAATGGCTTTCCTTGCTAGAGAGTTCAGCTTTGCATTGTGTGCTGCCTTCGGAGCGCCCGGCACCCTGCAGAAATGACCCTTTGTCCTGTTTTCTTTTTAGCCGTTGGACACCATGAGGATCCTGATGTGCTGCATGTTTTCCTTCGGCTTGCTCGCCTACGCGCTCGGGGACTGCCGGAAGGACTGCCTCAGCTGCCACAGACACTTGCATGGCCGCCAGGATGACTTCAGCCTCCTCGTGAGTAATCCAAGAGGACTTGTCTCCCCTTCCCCCCCCCCCCGGTTGGCCGGTGGTGCAAACTGGAGCGGGGGGGCGGGGAGGGCAACCTCTTGGAGATGTGGCGGGATGTGCATCCAAGCAGGGCTTTACGTGTGTGAGCCAAAGGTGGAAGAAATTGCTCCATTTTTCTTTTTTTAGAACAACAAATCTTGGGATACTCCAACCATCATGGCCAACCTAGAGAGCAGTGGTCCAGAAAAAGGAACTTTTTGCATTTCTGGTGAAAATGCCTTGCTGGTTTTCTCAATGTTCTTAAAATTATGTTGACTCACCTTCAGTCTCCTTCCAGGCAGGCTGTCCAAACACTAGAGAGCAGGACACATAGAAATGGGCTCAAGCGACAGGAAGCCAACTTAACATCTGAATATCAGGAAAAACTTCCTAACTGTTAGAGCAGCACAACAATGGAACCCATGACCTCGAGAGGTGTGGAGTGCTCCAACACTGGAGGCCTCCAACAGAAATGTAGACAACCATCAATCAGATGTGCTTTGATTTGGATTCCTGCCTTGAGCGGGGGGGGTTGGACTTGATGGCCTTAGAGGCCCCGTCCAACTTCATGATTCTATTCTTCTTCTGAGAAATAAGCTAATAAGGGCTGTCCAGACAGGTATAGAGAGAACTGTTTGGCTCGCTGTGGGTACCATTTGGTTCAGACCAAATTACGGCGTCCACATGTTTCTGTGCTTAGATCCACCCATCCTGCCCTCTGAAGAGCGGCTATGCATCTTTCTGGCACAGCGCTAGAAGCTTCTGGCGTTTTGGTATGATTTGATGTGTTCCTAAGTTTCCCGTTGCGTCGCCTGTGCAGATGATCATTCTGCACCCAAATGGAGCTGTCAGCAGTATTACCTGAGGTGATCACCCAGTGACTTATTAGGAGGGTTGTGACATTAAAAGGGAGGATGGAGTAACCCTCTCTTCTATGTTGATCTTTTTTTAAAAAAAAAATCCCTAACAAATGCAACACAATTTCAGCTACCATGTTGGGTAGTGTACTTTCTTTCTTTTTTTTTCTTTTTTTGTATTTGGAGTGCTCCAACACTGGAGGCCTCCAACAGAAATGTAGACAACCATCAATCAGATGTGCTTTGATTTGGATTCCTGCCTTGAGCGGGGGGGGTTGGACTTGATGGCCTTAGAGGCCCCGTCCAACTTCATGATTCTATTCTTCTTCTGAGAAATAAGCTAATAAGGGCTGTCCAGACAGGTATAGAGAGAACTGTTTGGCTCGCTGTGGGTACCATTTGGTTCAGACCAAATTACGGCGTCCACATGTTTCTGTGCTTAGATCCACCCATCCTGCCCTCTGAAGAGCGGCTATGCATCTTTCTGGCACAGCGCTAGAAGCTTCTGGCGTTTTGGTATGATTTGATGTGTTCCTAAGTTTCCCGTTGCGTCGCCTGTGCAGATGATCATTCTGCACCCAAATGGAGCTGTCAGCAGTATTACCTGAGGTGATCACCCAGTGACTTATTAGGAGGGTTGTGACATTAAAAGGGAGGATGGAGTACCCCTCTCTTCTATGTTGATCTTTTTTTTTTAAAAAAATCCATAACAAATGCAACACAATTTCAACTACCATGTTGGGTAGTGTACTTTCAACATGGCACTTGACTTCATACAGCAGGTGTTCAGTGCTTCCCAGCCCCGCCTCCTCTGGCAGGCGCCCACTCAGAGGCAGTGCCCTGGCTTCCTGGCCCTGCCTCCTCCGTGCCCTGCCCCACAAGGAAGCAGAGCCCCAGTTGAGGGAAAAGTGGGGAGAGGAGTTACCTCCTTTCTGTCTCTGGGGGCCCCCGCCCCAACAGTTTCCCTTCACACTGCTGCCTCCTTGCTTGTGGGTAAATAGGTATACTTGTGTGTGTTTAGTCGTTTAGTCGTGTCCGACTCTTCGTGACCCCATGGACCAGAGCACGCCAGGCCCTCCTGTCTTCTACTGCCTCCCAGAGTTGTGTCAGGTTCATGTTGGTTGCTTCGCAGACACTGTCCAGCCATCTAATCCTCGGTTGTCCCCTTCTCCTCTTGCCATCACACTTTCCCAACATCAGGGTCTTTTCCAAGGACTCTTTTCTTCTCATGAGATGGCCAAAGTACTGGAGCCTCAGCTTCAGGATCTGTCCTTCCAGTGAGCACTCAGGGTTGATTTCCTTTAGAACTGATAGGTTTGTTCTCCTTGCAGTCCAGGGGATTCTCAAGAGCCTCCTCCAGCACCACAATTCAAAGGCATCAATTCTTCGGCGGTCAGCTTTCTTTATGGTCCAGCTCTCACTTCCATACATCACAACAGGAAAAACCATGTGTGTGTGTGTTTAGTCGACTCACAAGAAAACGGCATAAACCCTGTTCATTAGTAGAGTTGGGCACAAAAGGCCAATTCTGTGGTTCGTCCCAATTCGTCCTTGAGAAGAGCAGGTGTTCGGTGCTTCCCAGCCCCGCCTCCTCTGGCAGGCGCCCACTCAGAGGCAGTGCCCTCGCTTCCCGCGCCCGCCTCCTTCGGGCAGTGTCTCTGAGTGGGCACCTGCCAGAGGAGGCAGGGCTGGGAAGCACCAAACACCTGCTCGTCTCAAGGATGAACCAATGAATCAGAGGTTCGTGCCCATCTCTACTCATGAGTAAAGTAGCAATCCGAAGCTCGACATAGACCTTTGCCATGGGAAGATGAACCTCTCCAGCGTGCATGGAAAGACTGCTCAAGTGAGAGATAATACAGATGAGGCGGAAGATAAGAGAACCAGGCAGCTCAGACTTCCACTCTCAGGACGGGATGGAATGATACCACTCTCTCTTCCTCCTCTGCTTGGGACATGCAGGGACCCCTTGGGCCATGGATTTGTCCCTCCCCTTTTCCTGCTCCCTCCTGCCCCTTTGATGGGCAAGGGTTTCCAAGGGCTGCCCTGCTTCTCGGAGAAGGGAACCCAGAAGGACACATCACCATGGCTGCAGGTTCGGCTTCTAACCATCGAGGTCACCTCTTGACCCGAGCCGCTGGGAGAACGGAGGCCGGCTGGGTGGAGGCTGGATTGAGTCCGTTCTTGCTGGCAAACTCCCCCAATGCCATGACCGGCGCACCTCTCCCTCTGGAGTCAGAATTACAATGGCCCCAACAGATACTGGCTGTGCTTGTTGAAGGATTCTGGGAGTTGTAGTTTACTAAAGGAACTCTCTTCAGCTTTCCTCCAGCCACTCCTTAAGCAGAAAATCTAGGCATCATTGGAAGTCCACGGGAAGAGCCTTAGGGGGGCAATTAGACCTCCCTCGTGTTCCAGCAGTTGATACTCTAAGGTGCAATGCTCCTGACTAGGGAGGCTCTATCATGATGAAAACATCTAGTAGACTTCTCCTCCATGAACAGAATTTAGAAGCTCTCCCTTTTTCGTTTCTTTTCCCTTTGGATTGCAAAGGCTAGCTGGGGGAGCTTGGGAGCTGTAGTCCAAAAAAACCCCAACATTTCCAGGTTCTGATCCTGCCTTGATCTGTTTTCCTTTTTAAACTGCCAAGGCCATGAGTCTTTCCTGAGTCTGTGGCCTCACATCAGTTTCACCCCCTGTATCAAAATTAGGAGGATGGTGGAGTTCCATCCCCCCCTTCCGAAACGGGGGTGTGTGTGCGCCTTCTCCTGCTTGCGGTGCTGAGGGGCGATTCGAGGCCTGCCCACAGCTCATTATCTCTCTCTCACTCGGGTCCCCATCTTGAGAACAGGCTTGAGCACCGGCTCCAGTTTCGGGACCTTTCCTCCTCTCCTCCCTGTTTCTGAGGAAAACATTCTGGAAAGCTCCAAAGTTTGCTGAAGTTTGTATGGTCTCATTTGCTCCCCAGAAAAAGATGTGGCCCAGCTGTGGATCTGAGCGTTCTTCTGATTGCGGGGGGGGGGGCGTGCATGTTGGTTTACTTTTCTGTCTCGATTTGAGCGCCCCTTGCTCCACCGTCAGAAACCCCCTGGCAGAATCCCGTTGGCTGGCGAAACCGGTCGCTGATTTCATCGCTGCGAATGTTCGCCTGAATGTTCGCTGCGAATGTTCGGCTGCTTTCCTCAGTCCGGCTGTGTTCGTGTCGCGAGCCCTGGCCCGGTCTTGTCTTTTCAACACCCCCCCCATTCGGCCACCTCACTTGCCACACCTGGTCAGGGTGTCCAGAACGGAGCATGAATTCAAGGGTCAGCTTTCCTCCTTTCAAGGACGGCGAGCAGAACCACTTCCATTTTTTAACCATACTGGGCCTCCCTTTATTCAAGTGGACCCCCTCCCTCCTGGTTTTCCATCTTTTCTCTAAGCTGAAAAGCCCAAAATATCCGAATGTTTCCTAATGAGGAAGCCCCTCTCGACCTCAGTTCCTCTTTGTGGTTATTCTGTGCTGTGAATTCACCTCCGACGGATGGCGAACCCCGTGAATGAGTGATCTCCGAAATGCCCCGTCCTCAGCTGCTCTGCTCAGCTCTTGCAGAACTCAAGCCTGTGGCTTCTGTTATGGAGTTAATCCACCGCTCGCTGGGTCTTCCTCTTTTCCTGCTGCCTTCTACTTTTGCCAGTGTTATGGTCTTTCCCAGAGAATCTTGCCTTCTCGCGACGTGCCCAAAGTAGGACAGCCTCAGTCTCAACAACTTGCCTCCAGAGAGAGAGTTCCATCTCGATTTGGTCTATTTATTTGTTTTATTTATATTTTCAACTTCTGAGCTGCCCACTGACCAATGGCCGCTCTCGATCTAGGACCCACTTGTACGTTCTGCATCCCTACATCTCAGCGGCCTCTACAATATCTTTTCTCTCTTTTCTTTTGAAAGGCATGGCAACCCGAAAAGGCCCCGGGGTCTCTACACCACGAGCACAATCGATGGTTTTACAGGCATTCCAGCGCTGACAGTTTTGTTTTCGATTCCTTTAACTCCATGCATGTTTTTCTCTCTTTCTTCTTTTTGTTAACACCTGCCACAGAACAGATAGCCTTTTAATTATCCACTGTGACCCTGGAGATCTCTTTTGTAGTTCATTAGCGCTCCCTCTTGCGTTCTTAAGGAGCCTTCGCTTTCTCTCTCCAAAGATCAATGCCATCTGAACAGCTGTGACCTTGGACGGCTGGTTTTCCCACCTCCTGTGGTCACGGCTGGAGAGTTTGGAAACAGGAATGAATGAATGAATGAATGAACGAATGAATGAATGAACGAAACCAGCTTTAGTCAGCCGGGCAGGCTCTGCCTGCCGCTGGCAAGACCTCCGATGCACAATTAGAAAATGCAGTGGACAGGTCATTAAGATTCATTAGGAGAACCGCACTGTTTCGTGCCGTGCCGCACATCCACCTTATTTCGGGGCTGTGACACATTCCCCCTGTAATGGGCTCCACCTTGACTCCCTACCTCCAAGGACACTGCAGAAAGAGATCGTCCTCAAGCTGTCCGACAGCGCTCTGACCAGTGGCGTGATGTGATAGCCGTGCAAGCGGGGGGGAGAGAAACACCAGGTGTCTTTCTGGATCAGTGGTCCAGGTAACCATCCTCTAGGAATGGTGCGTAGCATGCCAGAACCGCCAGATGTCGAGCTGGATAAACGCATTGGCAAAGCAGCTCCCATGTTCTCTACACTCACAAAGAGAGGATGGCTCAGTAAGAAGCTGACAACACATACCAAGATCCAGGTCTATAGAGCCTTGTGTCCTGAGCACACTCCTGCACTGCAGCGAGTCCTGGACCCTTCGTGCATGGCAGGAGAGGAAGCTGAACACGTTCCATATGCGTTGCCTCCGACGGATTTTTGGTATCACCTGGTAGGACAAAGTTCCAAATAGAGTAGTCTTAGAAAGAGCTGGAATTTTTAGCATGTATACATTACTGAAACAGCGACGTCTACATTGGCTCGAGCATGTTGTGAGAATGGCTGATGGTCGGATTCCAAAGGCTCTCCTGTATGGAGAATGAGTGCAGGGAAAGTGCCCTGGGGGGGAGACTACAGCTGTGATACAAGGAGATCAAGACCACGGCTGCGATAGGAGGAGATCCGCAAGCGGGATCAGAAGGCCTTAGGAATGGACCTCAACAGATGGGAAACCTTGACATCTGAGCATTCAGCCTGGAGGCAGGCAGTGCATCACGGCCTCTCCCAATTTGAAGAGACACTTGTACAGCAGGCTGAGGCAAAGAGACAGTGCTGAAACCAGCAAAACCAGGGAGCTGGACAGGGGATAGATTGTGTTTGTCTTCAGTGTGGAAGGGATGGTCACTCTCGAATCTGCCTCCTCAGCCACACTGGACGCTGTTCCAAGTCCTCCATACAGAACACGTTACCATATTCTTTCCCTTTTCATACATTTGACTCGTATTTATTGTAATACACAAAATATCCATTTGTGAAACATGAAGAGGTCTGGCTACAGAGCAACAAGGAACCTTAGACATTCCAAGGTAGTTTTGCCCTGGCCTAAGATATTGGAGGGTGAAATCTTCCTTGGCTGACCTACTGCCTATATTTTCCTTTACGAGTCATTTTAAAGATGGTTTAATGCTAAATGGCTGGCTGGATAGCTGAGTGAGTCAGAGATTGGGAGTTTGAATCCTCCCCCCCTCCCGTCTCCAGAAAGAAGAGCCAGCCTGGGTGGCCTTGGGCCAGCTGCACAACAGTCCCAGGACGCCCCCTAGAGGGAAGAGATGGGAAACCACTTGTGAGGGTTCTCTACCTGGAAAATCCTGAAAAAAACGGTCACCCGAAGTCCAGAACTGACTTGATGGCATATGGTTGTTATCAACTGACTGGATAGCTCAGTGGTTGAGATATCTAGCCGTGGAGACCGAGGTTGAGGATTCGATTCCCCTTCTGTGCTTCCCGTGAGTTGAGTAGAGCCGGCCTATGTGGCTTTGGGCAAGCTGCACAGTCTCAGGGCACCCCAGGAGAAGGGGACGGGAAACCACGTCTCTGCCTGGAAAATCCTGAAAAACGGCCATCCTAAATCAGAACTGACTTGACAGCACGTGTTTATTCATGCTAAGAGGATAAGTCTTATGCTGCTTTTGACCTGCTGTTAAAATTATCTTGCTGGCTGGAGCCTGAGAGGATGATAAAGGCATGAATTATATGCATTTGTGGCCTTACCTCTCCTTGCTGAGCTTGCCCGTTTTTGTCTTTCCTCGTTAAACAAACCTTTGCCGATTTGTCTTTCGGCTCTGTTCTGGTTGTTATCACTACCTTAGTGGGAAAAACCTAAGAAAGAGAAAAGGGGACCCCAGGGTCACTGCAAGATGCTTTAGTGTGTGTGCGTGTGAGAGAGAGTGCGTGCGTGCGCCCATGCATATCCACCCTTTTGTGCAGAATTTAAAGGCAGCTAATCCAGCTGCTGACCGTGTGAAGCAATGGCCTCTCGAAATGCCAGCGTGATGGCAAAGTGGAAGGCTGAGCCAGCTGAGCACAAGGGAAAAAACACACACACACAAAACAGAACCGAGGAGTTCCTGGCACTTGGCTCTTAATGGCCTCCTCTTGGGAATTCCATTCTGTCCGAAGGGACCAGGAAGGGGAGGGCCGCCCGTGGCTTCTGAGAGAAGTCACTGGCTCTCCCCAAGTGCCTGCTTCTGACAAATGAGCTGAAGAAGGAAGAGGGGAGGAAGGGATGGCAGGCGAGGGCTGGGCAGGTCTCCTGCTCTGGCCTCAGCCCGAGAGAGTCGTAAGGCGCAAGGACGTCTTTGATCCGGGATCTCCTGAAGGAGGCACTTCCCTGTGGTCAGCAACTCAAGGCCTGGCCAGCCTGTTGGCCCCCAGCCGCCTCGATGTGACCTGGGTCAGCGCTTGTTTCTTGCATCCCCAAAGAGGGGTGGTGGGTGGTGGGGAGGGGGAGATTGTGCAAAATGCTGGCCAGGCTGCACCTGGAGTGTTGTATACAGTTCTGGTCGCCTTATATTGAGCAAGAAATACCTGGTGTTCAATCTGGACATTTTGGAGATGACTTATTCATAGGGTTGCAGTAAGCTGGAGGTGATGTGACAGCATGTAACAACAACAAAGTTGTTGAGAACCTGACCTCTAGCATTTAATCTGACCGTCAGCCATTCTCGCAACATGCCCAAGCCAACGTAGACGGCGCTGTTTCAGGAATGTATGCATGCTAAAAATTCCAGCTCAATCTAGGACTGCTCTGTTTGGGACTTTGTCCTGCCAGGTGATACCAAAAATGCGTCAGGGACAACACATACGGAACATGTTCAGCTTCCTCTCCTGCCGGGCACAAAGAGTCCAGGACTCACTGCCGTACAGGAGTGTGCTCAGGACACAGCCTCTATAGACCTGGATCTTGGTATGTGTTGTCAGCTTCTTATTCAGCCATACTCTCCTTGTGAATCTAGAGAACATGGTGGCTGCTTTGCCAATGCGTTTATCCAGCTCGACATCTAGGGAGTGTCAGATACCTCTTTGTCTGAATTTTATATGGGGGGGCTGAAATCGAGAGGAAGGCCTCCTCCCCTGGTGATCTTCACACCCACAATGGCACATCAAGGGAGACGCGGCCCTTGAGACAGCTTGGACCCAAACCATTGAGGGCTACCTCTTTGTCTGTCTGAATTTTATATGGGGGGGGCTGAAACCGAGAGGAAGGCCTCCTCCCCTGGTGATATTCACACCCAAGATGGCACATCAAGGGAGACAGCTTGGACCCAAACCATTGAGGGCTTTCAAGGTTAGAACTCTGCCTGGAAACGGATCGGAAGCCGGGGAGCTGCTGTGACCAAGGGGTGATCCCAGCCATCCCAGCCCCAGGGATCAACCCGGCTGCAGCATTTCGGACCCACTTATGCGTCCTGACTGATACTTTCCATAGGGCAGCCCCCAGTAGGGCGTTTTGCAGTAGTCTAGCTGGGACGGAAATAAGGCATGGGTCACCATGGCCGGATCGAACCTCTTTCACTTTCCACTGTCTAAAATTCCTACAAAAAGAAAAACAAAAGAGAAGAAAATTGTTCTAGAGATTCTGTTGTGAGGTGGATTTTTGGGGGCACATGAGGAGTAGACCTGCTTTGTTTTTTTTCCAGCATAGGAGTTTTGTTATGATTGAAAGAGGAACTTCTTTATTTGCAGGTATTTCTCCTCTCTTTTGAACAAGCAAAATTTCTCCAGATTATGCCCTTTGAACACAATGCTTTGTGATGCTCAGATGGGTTTTTGCTGAGCCAAAGTTGCTTCCTTAGGTTCTCCTTCCCGGTATCCGTAAAGCTGATTCATCGTGGTGTATCAGCATTTAAATGCTTTTGGGAAGGAGATGATGGAGGGGGCAGGATGAGGCCCTCCCTTCCTTATGGGTTGGGGGGGAAGAGTGGCCAGAAGAGATTCTGGAAGCTCTGTTCCCCACGAGTAATTATTTCAATGCCTGACGGTGGTACGCCCTTGCTTTGTAATATCTCTGGATTCTGAAACAGTACCGAGTTATTACTGAGGGTCCCTTTACTGACTTTGAAATAGTGAGTAAAGGGACCCTCTTTAGAGATGGAAAGAAATGCACGGTGGCGAACATTTCTTCCTTGCAAAAATACTTGATTTTTACTTTTCTATGTTAATTGCCTGTCTATATATTTTCCATCTTGAATGATACTAATATTACTGATTTAAATTGTTGTTTTTAATTGTTTTATGATATTCCTATTGTAAGCCTCCCAGAGTAGACATGGTCTAAATGGGCGTGATATAAATTTAACAAATAAATAAAATAAAATAAATTCCATCTGGAGAAAGATGATGAATGTTGCTTTCGCTTTTGGGAATGCAAGTTTTTCTCCCTTAACGACTGTTCTTCCCTCCTTCCCAGATCTGCGTCATGGAGTGTGAGGGAAAGCTGTCGTCCAGGGCCACCTGGGGTCTGTGCAGCAAAGCGACCAGTGGTAGGAAGGCTTCCTTGCCCCTTGGCTTTGAGAGCTGGGAGGAAGAAGCCAGCCCTGCCTTGGAATTATGGGATGGCAACCTGCGAAGAGGGAAAAAGAGCCTCAGGCGCTTCGGCGACCTGACCCGAGTGGTGGATCTCAGCAAGGTGGAAGAGGGACAGCAGGTGTCCAAGGCAAGGGGTCTAATCCGTCAACCAGAGGCAGAAGAAGACACCAGCCATGGAAGCCCAGACCTGCTTGGGGACTTCCTGGGGGGTAGCCCTTTCGGTTACGGTGAGCAGCGGGCAGATCCGGGCGTGCAGGAGCTCCAGAAGCGATTTGGAGGTTTCATCGGCGTCCGGAAATCTGCTCGCAAATGGCACAACCAGAAGAGGTTCAGCGAATTCCTCAAGCAGTACCTGGGGATGTCCCCGCGTTCGGTGGACTACGAAGGCATGGTGGACGACCTGAAAGAACAGAATGAAATCTAGACAGATCGACTTCCTCCGGGCGGTCGCTGTTGTGGTGTGTACCACCATCATGTTGTGAATTGGTTTCAGATCAGCCATGGCGAACGACGTCCAACCCACTCGCCCGCCCGCCCTGCTTCTTTTCCGCCAAAGCCCTCTTCAGCCTTCCTGGCCTTCGGCGTGAGAACCAACCCGCTCTCGTCCATCCACATGGAAGTCCAGAGGTTCCCTGGAAAATAAAACCCCAAAGCCTTTTGTGTAATAATGTTTCACAGTTTTTCTAGGCAGGCCCTAATAAAATGTCTTGGAAGTGAAATGGCGTTGGATCCAGCGAGGCTAAATCCAGGGTGGTCCATTTATAGGGTGTCCAGAATGAAGGAGAGGCGCCTGTTCCACCAGGAGGACGGAAGAGATAGAATTCTGGATTTAAGGTCTTCAAGCACCGAGTTTGGGATGGGTGGGTGGGAAGTTCATGTTTTTTAATACATTGATTCTATGTTCTACTTTATATATTTTACCACTCATCGTTGTGTTTTATTGTTACTGTGAACCAGGCTGTGTAACGTGTGGTCCTCTCGGCTCCTCCGGGGCTCTGAGCACCCCCCCTAGGCCCACATTTTTACAAAAATAAATAAACAAACAAACCAATCATCGTTTGCTCAAAACACACTTCATCCCGTTTTGAACCTGATCTCTCCCGGGCGCTTCTTTCTGGCCGGTGGCGGCGGCTGCAGTCACACTGGCAATAAGAACCACATTGAAGCATCATTTCGATTTTGTGGGTCTTACGCAGCGTAAGGGTGAAGTCAATTTATGCAGGCTGCAAAGCAGGGCGGTTCCCCCCTCCTTGACTGACTGGCAAGAGCATTTCAAAACACCTCACTTCTAAAACCGATTCAATTCAATGGGGTTTTGTGGATGTGAACACTGCTGTCGTTTTAATTTGTGCCAATAAGGATTTTGAGTGGCTGGGGCCACCTGCTGTTCTCCCTTTACATTTCTTTTATACATTCTTTCTTAAAATGTTTACCGCTGAATCACTTCATCAGTGCGTTCTGCATTACAAACACCTACCCCGTTCTCTCCCACACGAGGCCCATGAAGGAGCCGTCGGAGCAGAGTAAGACCCGTGGGCGCAGCGTGGGCGGCGAGGGTGGTCCGTGAGTCAGGAGCATCGCCCACAAAGTAGCTAAGAAGCTTCCCCTGCATCCTCATTTGTTTTCATCACTTATCAGCGGGAAACCCTATGGTTTCCAGCAATCATTATGACCCCAGGCAGCACCTTCTAAACACGATTTATCAATGGATCACTTACTTTACTAAAAAAACATATCAAAATGTTTAAGAACAGCCTGTTCCTCAAACAACAAGGAAATGAGTCAATGTCAGCCGTGTAGATGCCAAAAATGGTTTAAATCACCAGAAAATAAATCGATTAGTGCCCGGATATATGACCACAGGTTTAAATGCCATGGGACTCAAACCTGATTTTTTAAAAAAAGACTGAACAGAAATCAGAGACTAAGGACGCGGCTAAAAAGTCCTGCAAATAAATCAATCAGTTCAAATGGTAAGTGTGACCACAGCTGAAGAGTGTTCCCCCTATACACACAGACACACACACACACACCACACACACAACACTGAAAAAAGAACACTGGAAAATATTTTTGGAGGTGGGTGCCCTGGAACTGGCATGGCCCTTTTTGGCTTGGGGTGGGTCGGTGGAGGCCCCGAAACCACTTTAGGAACCTAGTAAGTCGAAGACGTTTATTACCAAATGGTTTATGCGTATCCAACAAGTTAGCCCTTTCTTTATGACTGTTTTCTCCCTACAGGGGAGGGGGGAAATGTTTTCATTTGTGGGGAACTTTAGAAAACGTGACCACCCCCTACCAACGTTCTGCAGGGACCTAGTTCAGAATTCGACCTCCAGTGCCCACACAAGGCAGATTCATCCCCAGGGATGTTGGCAAGTCTTTGGTCCCAAGTTCAAGTCCCTATTAAAAACAATCTCTTTTGTTCCTCAGAAAAAAAGGGTGGGTAACTTTAGAAGACCACCCCCTACCAACGTTCTGCAGGGACCTAGTTCAGAATTCGACCTCCAGTGCCCACACAAGGCAGATTCGTCCCCAGGGATGTTGGCAAGTCTTTGGTCCCGAGTTGAGTTCAAGAACGTTCTATGTCCCCGGAGGGGCTTTTGGTATCTTTTCGAATGGCCGCCCAGCGGTTATGGATTTTGCATTTCTTCCAACACATTCCCTGTCCTTTGGCTCCCTTTCTCGCACTCCCTCCCTCCACCCTCCACCCCCACGGCATGCATTTGGCCAAATCTGCTGTTTCTGTGTTGTCGTTTTTTTTCCAAGGAGAATTTTTTCAGTCTATGGGACAAGGAGCGGGGGGGGGGACAT